AAATGGACATTCATCTGTATACCTTTTTTTGTTAAGTTCCATTATTTGAATATTATAGGTGTGTAAACTCAGCAAAATATTCTAAAAGAGTCCAGTACCCCATAATAGTATTGGGTCTTCTGCTTAACTGGCAATGTCAGAAATTGTTGACCTGAGTCCCCTACAGCTCAACATAACAGCATGGTTTTACTTCTCATATTTTGTTTTTATACTTTTCTGTTTTAAAAAATTTTATTTATTTATTTATTTGTGTATGTGTGTGTGGCCAGCTCAACCCACCAGGGGGCAGGGCTGGCTGGCATATGGTGCTGGGGGATTGAACCACGGTCCCTGTGCTTTGCTAAGCTTGTTCTAAGTAGGTGCTGTAGACCACTGAGCCATCTCACCAGCCCCTGTTTTTATACTTTTCTACTGGAGCAAATTTCTAGACACACAAAAATTACCAAAATTAGACCAAGAAGATATAAAAAATCAAAAGAGGCCAACAAAAGCAATAAAATAAATAAATGGTGTTGGTACAACTAGCTATCTACATGTAGAACACTGAATCTAAACCGATGTCTCTCTCTATGTGCTAAACTAAAGTTAAAAATAGATTAAAGTACTAAATGTTAGAAAAGAAACACTTAACCTGCTGGAAGACAAAATAGGTACAATTTGAAGTCATAAGCATACTTAAGGACTTTATTTATTTATTTATTTTTTCCTGTGTCCTAGTTTCTTTTTATTTATTTATTTTTGTTCTTTTCATTTTTTTTTAAGTATGGAGGCTCAATTAAAGATGTAGATTTTTAAAAAAAGCTTTCCAAAAACAAAACAAAGCAAAACAAAATAAAACAAAAAACTCCTTTTGCATTCCATAAAAAGCAACAGAAAAGCCCTGGCGAGAAGAACAGGACTCTGCCCCTGGTTAAGGACTCTCTGAACAGAGTCCTTTGTCCACAGGGAATAGTACTGAGAATCAACAAATGGGATCATAACTTAAAAGTTTATGAACATCAAAAGAGAAAAACAAGGGTGAAAATACAATCTACAAAATGGGAAAACTTTTCCAGCTATTTTCAGAGGACAAATATTTGCCAAAGGTCTGCTCTCTAGAATTTATAAATAACTAAAAAACACTAGGGCCCCAAAATTTAAAGACCCAATTCAGAAATGGGTATCCGAAATGAACACATGCTTCTCAGAGGATGAAATTAAAGAAGCGAATAAATATATGAAAAAATGCTCCACATCACTAGCCATCTGCGAAATGCAAATTAAAACAACATTGAGTATCATCTCACCCCAGAAAGAATGGCTATCATAACGAAATCACCCAACAACAAATGTTGGAGAGGCTGTGGGGAAAAAGGAACCCTTCTCCACTGCTGGTGGGAATGTAGACTGGTGCAACCTTTGTGGAAATCAGTATGGAGACGCATTAGAAAAGTTGGACTGGAAATATGAGCCATATATAAAGAACTAAAAATAAAATTAGATCTCCAAATAAAAGACCCAGTCAAAAAGTGGAAATGAATAGATGTTTGTTTTCTTTTCTCACCTTCTGCTCTGGGAACTAGGCTCCTGGGGAGACTGAGCTGCTGAGAGGTGCTGCGGGGGAAGGGCATTCTGAGGACCGCGGGGACCTCTGTAACAAAGGCCCCACAGGCCCTCTATTTAGTTTTTGATCCCTTGTCTTGTCTTTCTCTCTTCTTGCTGCTCTTTCATTCTCACTCCTCCAGTATCCATTTTTTATGATCTTCTGGCATTCTGTCTGGTCCTCACTTTCTGCCTGTATCTCAACTCTTTCTCAAGAGGAACTGTCCTTGGATTCCCAGCACTTCACTCTCAGAACCCAGTCTCTGCGTGAGGGGAAAAACCGTCCTGAGTTCATCAAGTACCCAGCTTTCAGGAATTGCTGCCATTCTCCTCAGCTTCCCTGATTTATCGTTCTTCTGCTCTGAGGTCTTATTTTCTGGGAAGACGCCACAGCAGAACAAGTCCTGAGGGCTGGGAGTGTTTCTTTCTTGCCCTAGCCCTAGTCTTTCTGAGTGCACGAGACCCTTTTAGATCCTGCCAGTCTGGCTTTGGGAACATGGAGGTTGGCAATGGCACAGCAGTGACTGAGTTTGTTCTGCTGGGGTTCTCAGGTTTTCGCTCCCTCCAACGACCTCTGTTTTGGGGGGTGCTCTGCATCTACTTGATCACCTTGCTGGGAAACTTCCTGATCATCCTCCTCACACTGGCTGACCCTGCCCTCCACTCCCCCATGTACTTCTTCCTTCGCCATTTCTCCCTGGTGGAGATCTTCTACACCACCACCATCGTGCCCAGGATGCTGGCTGACCTCCTGTCCACCCACCCCACCATCCCGCTTGCAAGTTGCTTCATCCAGCTGTATTTCTTTGCCCTTTTTGGTATTGCTGAATGCTGCCTTCTCACAGCCATGGCCTATGACCGCTATGCTGCGATTTGCCAGCCACTGCATTATAATGCCTTAATGAACAAGAGAGCATGTGCTAGCATGTTAGGGGCATCTTATCTCATGGGCGTCATCACTGGCATCACCCACTCCGTCTGCATCTTCACCTTGCCCTTTCATGGTGCCAACATTATCCACCACTACATGTGTGATGTCATGCCTGTGCTGAGACTGGCTACTGCAAGCACCTTCTGGGGTGAAATGGGGGACCTCACCATGACAATAGCCTTCATTGTGACCCCTTTTTTGCTGATCATGGCCTCCTATGCCTGCATTCTAGTCACCATCCTTGGGGTTGCAACATCGCAGGGACGTCGAAAGCTCTTCTCTACCTGCTCCTCCCATCTCTTTGTGGTCATTCTCTTTTTTGGGACTGCATCCGTGGCTTATCTGAGGCCTGATGCAGGCTCTTCTCCAGACACAGACCAGGTCATCGCTGTCTTCTACACAGTTGTCACCCCCATGTTCAACCCTTTTGTCTACACCCTGAGGAACAAGGAGGTCACAGGGGCCATGAAGAGGCTCATGATTAGGTACATCTCGGGCCCCTGACACCCCTCTCTTCTCCTGAATTCTTAGCATAAAGACCCTACTCCTGGTCACTGTCACGGTGGAGGAGGAAGCTTAGATCTGCAGTCACAGGGTCTCACCTTCTTATGTTAGTGTGAGTTTTGGGTTCCTTGCACAACCTAGAGTGAGAGTCCAAGGCACAGACATGCTGCTCAGAGCTTCACTTCTGTGGCATATTTCTGCAGCTTTTACCTGTTCTGATCACTAGTGCAGAGTTTGGAAAACACACACTTGAAGTGAAATTGAAGGGGGGGGGGGAGGCTACCGTGACAGTCATCTATGATCTAGCAATTCCTGGTCTTCTCTGGGCTCAGGTGGGTTCCTGGGGTTATAATTCTTGAGACATCTCTTTATCCCCATTCCTGAGAGGCTCCCTGCTGCAAATTTCTCTTTGGCATCAGTTATCTCTGCTGCAACAAAAGCTCCTTTCCTCCAGCTGTGATGTCCAGCCTGGGAGACTAGGGTGACAGTGCAGGAATCAGGTTATAGGAATTAGTGTGGCTTTGGAAGTTCAAGCACTGAGTCTTGCTTGGTGCTGCTACAGATGGGCAACATCTGTCCAGTTACTTTGCTCCTAACTGATATTCTTTCTTCTGGGATTCCTCAAATATTGGTGTTCTCTGCTCAACTTTTCCTCCCACCCTCAGACATATCTGAATGGGTTCAGAAGGTCTGATCTGGCCCTGAGACTCTCAAAATGATGTTTTGTTTTTTGAAACAGACTGTACAATTATCTCCTTGGAATCCACCTTAATTTTCTGGTGGAGCATTCATCACCTCATACTTTTCTTGGAAAACCAGGTCTTGTTTGTTCACAAACTCTTCAGCTACAAGTCATTGGCGAGAGTAGTACAAGGGGCAATATCATGGGTCTTTTGATAGCATTGGTTTTCTTTCCAGTGTAAAAAGTAAGTTTGTTGCATAGAATTTTGTACCCATATGAAAATAACTACCAATATTTTGATGTAATTAGTATCATAGAAAATTAGTCTGCTCCCTCTCTGTACACCCCACATATATATTTCTAAAAACTAAAAATGAGATTATATTGTCCAAATCACTTTAATACTTACCTTCATTTTATTAAACTAAATTTTAATGTTGTACCTTGTTAGGGAACTTTTAAATATAATTTCAGTGTTTTTTTAGATCAGACTATATGGATAGACTATAATTTTAAGCACTCTCTTGTCATTTTACTACAAGTTTTGGTCATAGATATTGTTGAGATAGATTTTGTTAAACTTATATCTTTGTATATTTATTTATGCTTTTCTGAGCTGAAATTCCTTGAGATTGCTGAGCCAAAGTGTTTTTGAAACATTTGGACTAAGAGTCAGGAATGACTTGGGATTAGATGGCCTGGGAAAAGAAGCATGGGGAAGGTATAGGTAAATGTTTAATATTTTTATGAAACAAGGATCTGATGGCAAGGATATGAACTTGCCTTGCTGGGGAGTTTACTGAAGCCAAAGTGAGATGGATTTGGATTGGAAATATACCATATGACTTCAAAATTTGACCCAAGGAAGCATTTTCTGATACAGTTGATACCTGAAGGGGACAAAGAGGGAGACCCCATCTTTTTTCTACTTTGTTCTGAGCTGGGGAAAGATGAGGAGGATCTGAGGGAACTGGACTGGTTAACCTCCAGGTATCTTCATGCTTTTCTCACTGATATGGTGAAGTAAACAACCATAAAGGTTTTAGTGCAAGAATGTTCCCGGAAATACTCACCCAGAGGAAACAAGATAGTATTACCTTTTGGTGAAAAAAGTATTTGAGTCATCCTTACATTAAAATATCACCTACCATTTTTGATAAACTTAACCAAGTGTCCCCTATTTTACTAGGGGCCATAAAATTGGGGCACAGGGTTGAGCAGGAGAGGGAGACTTGGCTGACTCCAGGGAATCAATTAAAACTCACTCAGTAACCATGGGAAGGAAGGATTTAACAGTTGAATCTGTGTCAGTGATGCAAGTTACTGTTCAGACTTGTAGAGTAAAAGGGATGTCAAGGGTAAGAGGCCAGTCCCACTACCAAATTCACTCTCAGCGGCTCTTTGCAAATATGACATATGTACTCAGTAATTTTGAAAAACAAAAAAGCCAAGAAACAAACAAAAACTAATAACAAAAACAAAACAAAATAGTTGGCCAGAGAGTTCAGAAATTCTGGGCTCAGAGTAAATGACATTCCCAGCCTCTTGTTTTTACATGAGCTCTACAAAAGAGGTCCCAGAGTTCTAACTTATAGAGTCTATCACATTGTCTTCAGTGGCAAGTTGAGGCCAGTTTTATCTCAAAGTCTTTATTGGTTGGCCCACAGTCACTGGTCTCCTTTTCTTATTTCACAGTGTTCTTCCATTCATTTTCCCTCTCCTTGCTTTCTTCATGTCCTTCCAGCAACTCCACTGCCAGAGAATGCAGCACCCCACCTGTACATGTTCTTCTCTACAACTCCACCCAGAAAGAGGGGCTCTTCTGTGCCTGGACATGCACTTTTGCAGCACCTGAAGTCTATGTCCTGTGTTGCTTTATACCTAGCTCTTAGCTGCTATGGCAGAGCCCAGTGGGATTCTGGGTGTTCATGCCTTGGGAGGAATCCAGGGTTCCCTGACTCTAGCTATGCTCCCCCTTGCAACTACTGCTTTGTGCGTTGTCTTTTCTCTGGCCATAGCACATCCTCTTCTCCCACAGAAGCTCACATACAACATTGAGTTCTGCTGCTGAGGCAGGAACATGGGCGAGGCTTTGTCCTGGAAAAGGCAAGACTTGTGGTTCAGACTCTTTTTCTGGAATATCTATTCTCCTGGTTGCCACACATGACCTACTGAGCTTTGCACACTGGACTTCAAGGAAGCATGGGCTTGGGACTTTGTACCTATGAAGCACCCTTGGTCCCTCAGGGCCCTGGTTGTGGTACTTTTGACCACCATGTGGCCCCGTTCCTCTCCTACACTTTGGTCTCTGTCTCTGACCTCAAGCTCTGGGTGGGACCTGTGCTGATTGGAGAAGCTGATGAACTGGTGTGATTGTTCTGGGGCATTCCTGGATACTCTTCCTGAGGGAAGATTTCCTCTGTGTGCATGCACACACATGTTGACACATGTATACAGAAAGCACACACATGCACAAAGAGTTGCAGTAGATGAATGGGTGAAACAGAGGCCTGGGGAAAGCGCTGGACCAGGAGCCTGGAGATGTCAGTTCATGATCCTGGCTGATTGTGGAGAAATATTGTTCTTTTCCAGCCCTGTTTCCTCTTCTATGTGATGATGAGAATCTCAAGATGTCTCCAAGGCAACATCTGCTGTTCTCAGACTGTCTGGTGTGGTATAAGATACTTCACTTCTATCATGGCTGCTTTCACCTTTACAGAGTGGCATTATTTCAAGTGCTTTGGATTAGGATTACATGTGTTCATTTATGTCACTTGGCCATGTGCTAAACATGATATATATTTTTACTGGTCTTAGCTCCACTTAATTCACTGAATGATTTTGGGAACATAACATGAAATTGTGTTGACTTCAAGGTCCTCTTGCAAAGACAGGAACTTGGGCAAGTAGATTTTTAAGTCCATTCCTCTCAGTATCTCCTCTTTATGCTTTATGCTTTATTAGCCCTAGGTGAGGATAACCTTGAACATGTTTATTCAGAGATTCACCACACAGAGCAACGTAATCTCATTTACACTAACTCCAGAAGTGTCTTCATTTTTTTTTGGAATTGTGAAGATTTTTAGAGACAGAACAAGGAAGTGCACACACACACACACACACACCCTAGAAAACAAAGACAGAAGCAAAACACTTTCCTTTTTGGTCTATGATTTTTGGAAACAAGCATACCATTTTTATTTATATCTCATTTGAAATCCAAATTACAGAGTGTTAAATACATATGCTGAAAACAACACAAGTTTTCATCACTCTGTGCTTGGCTAGTAGCTTTTTTCCCAGGTGTGCATTTAAAAAAAGTGCAGTGGTGATTGGAAACATTCACTACCTGCCAACTTAGAAAATGAAACTACTGATAAAGACTTAAGGTAGGCATAGTTGGTTGGAAATAAATTCTATCATTTTAAAAAATGTTTTATATACTATTTTCTGTATTGTATTATTTGTGGATCTCAAATATATTTAAAAACACAAGAACAAAAAGAACATAATTAACACCCAAATCTGTTTCTCTTGGGGCCTCTCAGTGCTAATACTTGAGTACTTTTACCACTTATCTATCATCTACTTATTAAAATATAGATTTTATATCAAAATATGTTTTTTATTTATCACTTTGTAATAGTATCCTCATTTGTTTTCATGTCATTAGATGCATTTGTGGTGGTGGGAATTGAATCAGGGCCCTCAGGCACATTAGGCAAGTGCTGCTTCACTGACCTGCACCCTCAGCTCAATATCTAAAGTATTTTAAAGAACAACATTTTATTTTACAGTTCTTAAGGGATTGTAGAAAACTTGCTAAGATATTCTAGTGTATGGCATACACCTTATATCACTATGACACCTTTGTCACAATTGGTGAACCAATATTGATACATAATGATTAAAGTCTTTATTTGATTTGTATTTCCTTAGTTTTTACTTAATGTCCTTTTTCGATTTTAGGAGCCTGAAAACGATACTATATTTAACTGTAACATCTTTGTTTCTCAGGCTTTCTTTGTCTTGACTTTCATGATTTTGAGGAACACCAAAGTCTATTTATTTTGTGGGGTGCTCTTCTATGAGAGCCTGACTGGAATTGTTTTCTGTATTATTGGCCTGTGTAAAATGGCCTGTGCATTTTTTCCACATCACATCAGAGGTGTGAGTATCTGCATGTTTTATCACAGTCAGTGTTGATGATGCTGTTTACTAGTTGAGATGGCGTTTTTCAAGTTTCTCCACTGTAGTTCTCCCCCTCCTCCTACAAGATCATTGTAAGCAGCTCCATGTTAAGGAGGAGCAAATTGTG